GGCTGTATATTAGATAAAATTAATAATTATTTAAACTCAAACCTATGAATTTGAACGGATGGTGATGTTGGCCTCTGGGGATCTCAAAACGAAAAAAGTAATTCCGTCCCGGAGTTACCATGAGACCTACGGTAATAGCTTATTCACTAGGCCTATATGTGAAATTCGCTAAAACTGTAAATTTAAATTTGCCACGTTATTCTTATGGAGGATAAGTAAACTGTAGTAGGTAGTTTCCTTGTTTTAGTCAAACATGGCGAATTAGTTAATTTTATTCTAAGCTATAAATATTTCACTTTATTATTTTCCCTGTAGCAGAAACCCCCTATGTATTCATACTGCTATTTAAATAGGAAATAAATCTGACCTTTGTGAGGAAATATTTTAGGGCGTCCAATCAATATTATGTATGTAATAGCCATTTTAACTCTTAACCAAATGATACAGGCCCCATGATGTCAAGAGTTTGATTCCAACTTTATTTATTTCTTTCGTGATTTCCCCCATAAAATATCATAGTTACTCCCACCACTTACCCATGATAAAGGTTGTTGATAAAATAATGGGAGAAAGTATGTAAAAAATGTTGATGATGTTTATTTGTTTTGATTCCCTAGGTAAAATGTTGCTACCTCGTTACTACTAGTAACAAAATAAATAAAATGCAATAACTAACCAGAGAATGTAATTTTCCTAACAGTAACATAAATGGTTTTAAATTCTATGCGAATTAACATCATATTTATTTTCTAAATAACTAGTTACAAACTTAACAGTCCAAAAAATCAATACGTTTTCCATAGTTTTAAAGTATTTCTTGTTGCAGACAAATTCAATAGTAAAAAAATAAATAAAATTCGTATTACTTTATAACAATAATTTTACAACTACTGCACAACAGTTATTAATGTTACAACACAACAGTTATTATTGTTGATTGGCTTAAAGACAAAAAACACAAATATTATGAGGAACAAACTGCTATTACTTTAATAACAACAAGTATAATAATGTAAAGTAGACCGTGGAACCGAGGCGAGAGAAGGCGACCTCATAGATCAGTCGAACAAAGAGTGATCAGAATATTAGAAATATCCCGACTGTGATACTTTCACCGATGAATCACTTTTAAAAGAGCGAAAGTTCCAGGATTTGTCGCATTGTTATAGTTTTCATTAGGTAAAAGCTGAGACGGAGCCCCCCAGAGTGATCAACGAATTGTGAATTTGGGCGTCTAAAGTCTAGACATCGACGTCACTAAACACTGTACAGTGAACAGTGACAATGTAGCGACTCACTACCCTCTACACTCTACTCTCTACTCTCTACATCTGTGGGGGTTTGTTCTGAGATAATAGGACAATTACTATAAGTATTATTATCAGATTTACAGCTTGCTCGACATTTATTTGAGTTGAAACAATCTTACATATTACACTTTAACTGTTAAATATTATTTTGCCTACATCGGATGTATATTAGATATTTAAAAATGTTTAGATTAGTGATTGTGTTGGTTAAAAAGAACAAAACATGTATAACAGTCCATAAGAATCATAACTGTTGTTCACATGAACAAAGTAATCTACGATATTACTATTTTAACAGGTTGCAAATACAACCTACAAAAGACTTTTTGAAAAAAAAATTACAAAATACTACAAAAGAAGATTTAGATAAATGACATTGACCGAATTCTGCTCTTAGATTATACTAATAATTTAGGTGAGGAGAACTGTATATCTATACCATTACAAAATGAGACGGGGATGCAACGGGACGTATTTAACCCAACTATGAGTGTAGGATGAATGGGAAATACAGGGAGATGCCTTGTGTGGATTTGTTGCTATATTTATACAGGATGCCTCCTTCTACGAAAAGCCAATCGATAATTTAAGCCAATAATAGAAATAGTTCTGAACCGATATATTTATAAACATGTTTCCACGCAAAAATACTTGTTGTTAGCACACAAGTGGATAAAGGATAGAAGTAGGCCTAGTCTAGTTGTAGGATTAATGTGGTAGCCAATACAGCCAGTGCAAGTTCCGAGGGCAAAGTGACTAATGCAAGGATTGTTATGATCACGAAGTGCGATTTATGGCCTAGATACATAACTTATCCATTTGGAATTATGTTTCTGTTGTGTTAGTCATATTAGGCCTACTGTATGTTGTCCTAAGCGTAGCATGAAGAGAAGCTTTTCGATATTAATTCACATAAAACCATAAACTTGTTTAAAATTGATTGCAAAACTAAACAACTTGAATTGAGTTTAACTATATACTTAATACTGGCATAGTTACTTATGTCAGTGTATACAGTGCTTATAAATGAATTGGATTTACACTAAAATATCTCCTTAACCACTATCATAGGCCTATGCCCTAGGTGTTATTTATTATGCAGGTCATTAATGCCAGTATCTTAACTTCCTCCCAATTACACTAATATAAATTTTAAAAAATCCTGCAGAATTAAAAAAAAGTTTTTTTTAAGCCGACATGTGATACGATTGCGAGACGGCCGACACGAGAGTGGTAAGGGTTTAAAAATATCACATTTATTAATTGCCTATTTAAATTAGTTTAACGAGTACTTAAGTTTGCTGCAATAGGGAGGGTAAACAAGGTTTTTTGTAAAATTATAATAGTTTATGCAAAAAATTTAAAACTAAGAGGACAACCCAGCACCCAGTCAAAAATGGCACCCGTTCTAAGATTTCTTGAATCTTCCATTTTGAATCTTTAAACGGCTGTCATGTTTTACTCAGTTGTTATTTTGAGCTCAAATTAGCTGCATTGCATTCTTATAAAAATGCCTTTAAAATACCTGATGTGCATATCAACCTCTGCTTACACTTAAGACTTTCTTTTGACCCCTAGTGACCTGCACCCCTAAGAAGGTAGCGAATCACTGAATAAAGTGTAAAATGATTATAAAGCCCAGCAACTGTGTACGATGTTTTGAATCTCTATCTTTGCGATTTAAAAAAAATATTGAACCGTCCCGGTACTTTTCCCCACCCTGTACAAAGGAATTACATAATCATTGTAACAATCAAGATCAACTGTACTGTAATATCAACTAGACACGTTTAGTAAATAGGAAATGCTAAAGGACAGCTAGGTTCAATTAATTTAGAACTTCCAAGAAAGTTCCAACCGTTTCTCAGGAACATACGGCATTCTCAGTAGCAGGCTAGCACAACACACACTCTGTCCTAAAAAAAACCCTTAAATTATATGGAATTATTGGTACCACAATCAAATCGTATAAAAATGTGTTCCACGCGGTGTATTCGACACTAGGTAGGCCTAGTTTTTTTAGCGATAACAAGAACAAACACTCTTGTAGGTAGGCCTACTCCAAGCTGATAGCATCCAGTATCCAGTGCTGGTAACATATGGATGTTTTAAACTTAGTGATTGCATCTGTGTTGTGGTTTTATTCTTGCACTGCCAGGTAGTAATCAATTATTACAATTAACCAGTTATATACACATATACACTTTCCATAATAGGTATTTAAGGTTGATAGTACATTTTTATGATTACAACTAGCGTGCATGGTTTAATTAAACATTTTCCAGAAACATTCTTCTTAAAATAAGTTTTGTCAAAGTGATTTTCTCTTCCTATCATGCCAAAGAAAAACATCAAAGTTTCCATGTCTTTGACATCCAAAATAAAATATATAAATTATTATGTAAAAATATTTACTGTTGCGTTGCATGTACAAAGATTAAAAACTACTGAAACTATAAAGTGCAAAACTAAGTTATGACTTTGTCGCCATTTTAATACAGTTAAACCATAGTCAATGGCTAAACGAATCTATTCAATATGATTATTCAACGTACCAATCAAATAAATGCATTTTTCAATAGTTTTCAGGGTTGAGAATAGTTGGTCAAACAATGACTCTGACCTCTTGGTATTGTTGTAGAAATGTACCTATAATATAATATTTAACAATACAATATTATTTTCAACAATATTAAATGTTAATAATAATGAAGTTGAACATTGAATACAACTTTTCTACGCAATTAATTGCTTAATGAGGTATTGCATTTTTCATAGTTAGAAAAATTGACATTAATGTATAGTCCATTCACATTTTTAAATATTAATAATATGTTAAGTTTCTTATCGCTCCATATTTTAGATAAGAACGGCATACGTTTGAAAACAGTTAAAACACCCCATTTCAAATTATTTTTCTCCAAATCGTTAAATATTCTTCAATGGGCTGAATAAATTTAAATATAATAAGTAAGCACCTAAGAACGTTTCTATGCGTTTCGACGATTTATTTAACACATTCCCTGCTAATGACATTTTATAATACCTTTATATTAGGCTAAAAAACGTAAACATAAACATAATCATGTATGTGGAGTGCTAATTTATCTTAAATTGGATAAATTGTATCCTATAAATTGTAAATGGAAATATATTTTACACATCATATATTTATATATCTGCTGACATATGTGCGCCAATAGCAGTGAACGTGAAACAGGCTACCATTATGATATTTTGACTTTGTGACACTTATAATAATAATAATACCCCCGCCAAAGCAAACCTGCAGACTAAGCGAATTTCCATTTACATGGCTTAATTTCACTAAAATATCCCCTTAACATTGATTTCTTATCTAAACAACATTAATTTTAGTGAGTAATTAGGTTTGCTGCTACAGGGAAGGTATTGAGGTGTGTTTTTTATTGCAATGTTGATAGCTTAGTTTGAAATAAGCTAAATTTCTCAGGAATCCAGCTTCAGGAATTGATCAGGAATTTGAGAGCTTGTGGAATCCTCGGTCTGATCTTCAGAGTGTCAAGAAATGGATTTTCAATAACAACTCTAACTACCCTTTACAAGACACTCCTACGCCCGATTTTGGAATATGCTTCGGTGGTTTGGAAACCTTACCATGACATCTACGTTTCTCGGTTACAGAGAATTCAGAGAAGATTTGCAAGAATGATGGGGGTTAGATGTGGCTACAACTATAGAGACGTCCCAGTTGAAGAACTTGAGTCCCTGCTGAACCTCCATACTCTGGCCAAGAGAAGAGATGTTGCGGACCTGGCTTTCTTGTTAAAACTGATCAATGGTAAAATTGACTCTCCTCAGCTGTTGGAAAAGCTGTTATTTCGAGTTCCAGGCAGTACCAGGTCTACAGATGTTTTCTTCAGGGCTAAGTACAGAACAAACTACCTGGGTAATAGTCCGATGATCCGACTCCAACGGCTAGGAAACGAATTCTCAACTCATGTTGACCTCTACAGCGACAGTCTAGCCTCCCTTAAACATAAAATCCTACACGTTTAATTAATTCACACCACATTACACTTCACATCCAAATACAGATTTACACCAGACTTCACACTACTTATACTACTGAACTACACCACTCACATTAGAATACAACAGATCAAACTTAGACATCCTACCATACCACATTTCATTATCATTGTTATTGTTATTATTATTATTATGCCTTGTTTTTGTTATGTCATAGTTTATTATTGTTGATCGATTGTATTGTTGTTATTGCTGATGAAATGTTGTTTTGTTATAATTTAATATTTTGTATTCATATACTGCTGATGAAATGTTGTTTTGTTATAATTTAATATTTTGTATTCATATAATCTATTATAGCCTTAACTGATTGTATTTTGTAAATGGCATTGCCGTGGAAAATAAAATGAAAAATGAAAATGAAAATAAAAATGAAAATTGCCAAATTTGATTAAAATATATCGATAAACAAGCCAACTACATCAGTTTATTTATTCTCCATAAGAAATACATTTTAAATTTACAATTTTTTGAGTCATCTCCGTAACCGTTAGAAATACAACAACGCATCAATATACAAAATTATTTTTTTAAGCTCTACAAAATGGTTTAGAAAAAATATGAAATTATGGGTTTTTAGGGTCAAAATGGGAAAAATCTATTTGTACCCCATTTACCCCATAACCCCAGTTCCCATGGTCCGATGGACTAATGGCTAATAAACAACAATTATGCTTATAAATAACAAAAACAAAGGATTCAATCAGCTGTTATGCTAGCTAAATAACTAGTTACAATAACAGTGCTAAAAACCAATACGTGTTCCATAATTTTAAAGTATTCTCGTTAAAGACAAATTCAATATTACAAAAATTAAAATAATTATCTTACTAATCATACTTCATACTAATATTAAAAATATTAAATAATATTAAATATTAATATTAAATATTAATATTAAATATTAAACATTATAACATTAAAACTCCCGATTGACGTATAACTGATTGTAAAGATATTTAGTCAATGTAAAAGGGGTATTAGCATTGTTTAAATGGAGAAAAGTGGTCATGCAATACGAAAAGAACACATTTCTCTGTTATTATTAAATTTATCCTTTCTTAAATAAACAATAAGGTATTATTGAACACTATATGAAAATTATAATTTTTTTGTCTCATGAAATTATGTTGTTAAGTAAACGGTTTTCGTGAAATTCTGAGTCAAATATTTTAAATGGCCGCCATTTTGAAACGGTTTATGATTTTTTTAGTATAATAAAAAAACAGCTCTCAATAAGATTAACATTTTTGCAAAATCTCAACGCTGTATCTCAAACCGTTTAGGAGTTATTAATTTTCTTGTAAAAACACATAAATACAGACAGACGGAAAACTATGTATCACAGACCCATGTTTATATGGTGAAATAAACACCAATTATAGTTTATGCGTTGAAATTGTACTGACCTTTCCTATTGCAATGTATATATTGTTTAACGGAATAAAGAATTGTCTATTGTCTATTGTCTATTGAAATGTTTTTGTCTTGACCTAAGAAATAACGCTATATACATGTGTCCAGGGACACTCTGTAGATGTACACAAATTTTAGCGAGTCGAGTTTTTGGCCTCCAGAGGCCCAAATGAAAAGGTAAATCGATAAAAAAGTAAATCGTGTCTAGTTCTTACCTTGACACCTACGGTGCTAAATGCAAGAATATGCATAATTTATGTTTTAAAACAATATTTATCCAACAATTAAGTGTTTGAAAACTTCTTCTGTAAACGCAGTTATGTGGCTATGTTGATTCTCCCCCTCTGACTGCTGACTGTGGTTTGTTCGACAGCAATGTGACCACTATCCACCTACAGAGATATCACAGACACAATGGCTCGCTGGCTGACCTGGGTCACCACCTGAGGACGGTCCGCAGTGCCAAGGGTGGCGTCGACGTCAAGCTTAAAGACTTCCAGGACGTGAGTACAACCAACTAGGCTCACAATGAGACGACAAGCCTATTGCAAATAACACGAGAACGTATAGCAAATATTCCCTCCACCACAAATCTGCAGACTAAGCGAATTTCCATTTGCGTGATTGTATTTTCACTTAAATCAATTTAAACAAAATTGTACCTCTGGAGTGTGTTCTCGTTTTGCCGAATTGTACAGTAGCCAAAGACATCATGCCGTCACTTCAAAGCTACAAACCATACTAACCTCAATGTTGTAAGAGCGTTTGTTGAATACTTATAACATTGTAGTTGTTACAATGTTATGTCTGTTACAACTACAATGTTATAAGTGTTCAACAAACGCTCTTACAACATTGAGATTAGTATGGTTTGTAGCTTTGAAGTGACGGCATATTATGTACAATTCTTGTCCAAAGTGGTTTCAACTGGATAAAACTGATGCTCTCGCTAGTTTTACAAGTAAGTACATACACAGAAACATTTAAATTGTAATTAGCACGTAATAGATCAAGTTGCGCACTTGTAACACGAATATTTGTCTATTCAATATCCTTATTGCAGATGTACTATTTCGCACCCATCAAGATCGGCAGCCCAGGACAGAGTGTCGTCGTGGAGTTTGACACGGGATCTGCAGACCTGTGGGTGCCCTCCAGTAGCATCTGCAAGAAAAAGGACAGCTACTGCCGTGAGTGGCAAGTGTTTATTTGAATAAAGACTTTGATTGCAACGGAATTAAAACGTAACAATATCTTTAGACATGTTCATTGTTAAATGATTGGCATGTAGGTGTTTTTGATGTCTTGACTTTTCTCTTTTATTTTATTTACTACCTCAACTTGGCCTTTAGAAACACATTGTTCTATTCCAGACTGCCAATGTGTCAATTCAGGAGTAAAGTTTGTGCATTATCATTTAACAAACGAAACAGTAACATAAGCAAGTGGTATAGTCTTAGTAAACCTAAAACATGCGTAGGTTTACCATTGTTATAGCAGGAAAGGAAATAAACCTTGGCAGTAAAATGTTGACGTCATTCGGCATTCAAGCGCCGAACTCTTGTTGGAGCTAAAACTTCTATTGGAGAGTCCAGGATTTTTTTGTCCTAGGACGCTAGGCACGAGCCTGGGTTGTTTTTCACATTACTAGACCTATTGCTAGACATTAGGACTACTAGACATTACTAGACATTAGGACATTATACTAGACATTAGGCTAGACCTAGGGGTTGCGGCATTATCACTTAAGATAAAATCCATGCGGAACTCGCTCCACGGAGAGACCAGGATGTATGGGGACGGCCCAAATAATACACCGATGCTTATTAGAACGGGCAAATGAAAGATTGAAAGAGGCTGTCTCCTTATAAATACAACTTTTACATATCTTACGGCTAAATATCTTTTGTGGTTCACACTAAATTATTAGAAAATGGCTAAACCGGTTATTAGAATATACTGTATAAACAAAGGATGTGGTGAAAAAATATGCAACATCAATAAATACTCCATTTTAAATTTACATGAACATTTTTAGGTTAGATTCTTCAGATGTATTATAATGATTTGTATTTTTATTATTTGCAACTGTAGAGAAGCACAACACCTACTCCCACAAGGACAGCAGTAGTTACGAGAAGGATGGGGCCAAGTTCAGCATCACATACGGGGCTGGTTCCGTGTCTGGCCACAAGTCGAAGGATAAAGTATCGGTTAGTGCAAATCATTATCACATTAAACTATAAGCTTATAAAGAATTCATTATAATGCGTCAATTGAGTTTTGGTTTTGAGCAAATGAGATTTTCCTTATGATATGCTTAGCATTCTGGGCAATAATCAAAAGTCAATTGTTAAATTGTTCATTTCAGTTTGCTCAAACAATTCAGTTAGTTCATGTCAAAAATTATAATAACTATGTTGCTTTTTTACTTTTTGAGTCGGTCTCTGTTGAATTTAGTTAACAATTAATAATGTATTGTAAATGGTTTGAATTCTTGATACATTTTTTCAAAAAGACAAATGTTTCTATTTTGGTTTTATTTTGAGTCTTTCGACGTAGCAAACTATTTCAATTATACTTTATCCATGTTTAGGTAGGATCGTTGCACTTAAGTAATCAGATTTTCGGAGAGGCGACATCCATCAATGACGTCACAGCGTCTCACAAGTATGACGGTATGTTCGGCCTTGCCTATCCCTCCGTATCTCTGCTAGGCGTGGACCCGCCCTTTGTCAACATGTACAAGCAGGGAGTCGTTGATAAACATGTGTTTGCGATGCATTTAGGCAAGTAAGTTTATTAGGCCTATTAACATTGTTATATTGAACAATGTATTAACTCGTATTTAATGATGATGTATTTAACTCGAAGATGAGTACAAATCGCAAAGAAAACTAATTAATGTTCTCTTAAAATTAAATACAAAACATTTTTGAAAAAAAATTTGATGTACAAACAAAGTTAAGCGTATGTTTCAGGCAGGGTTCTGAGTGGTCACCTAGTGGCAAGGCGGAGTTGGTGCTTAGATGGGTTGGGTTAGCTCACTACAAGGGGGTCTTTACCTTCGCATCGGTCACTAAGAGAGAACACCTGGCATATGTTTCAGGCAGGGTTCTGAGTGGTCGCCTAGTGGCAAGGCGGAGTTGGTGCTTAGATGGGTTGGTTTAGCTCACTACAAGGGGGTCTTTACCTTCGCATCGGTCACTAAGAGAGAACACCTGACATATGTTTCAGGCAGGGTTCTGAGTGGTCGCCTAGTGGCAAGGCGGAGTTGGTGCTTAGATGGGTTGGTTTAGCTCACTACAAGGGGGTCTTTACCTTCGCATCGGTCACTAAGAGAGAACACCTGGCATATGTTTCAGGCAGGGTTCTGAGTGGTCGCCTAGTGGCAAGGCGGAGTTGGTGCTTAGAGGGGTTGACTCAGCTCACTACAAGGGGAATTTACCTTCCCATCGGCCACCAAAGAGAGAACACTTGGCCTATGTTTCAGGCAGGGTTCTGAGTGGTATTCTAGTGGCAAGGCGGAGTTGGTGCTTAGAGGGGTCGACAAGGGAAACTTTAACTTCCCATCGGCCACCAAGATAGGACACTTGACGTGTGTTTCAGGCAGGGTCCTGAGTGGTCTTCTAGTGGTAAGGCGGAGTTGGTCCTTGGAGGGGTTGACTCCGCTCACTACAAGGGTCACTTTACCTTTCCATCGGTCACCAAGAGAGAACATTTGACGTGTGTTTCAGGCAGGGTTCTGAGTGGTCTTCTAGTGGCAAGGCGGAGTTGGTCCTTGGAGGGGTTGACTCCGCTCACTACAAGGGTCACTTTACCTTTCCATCGGTCACCAAGAGAGAACATTTGACGTGTGTTTCAGGCAGGGTTCTCTGAGTGGTCTTCTAGTGGCAAGGCGGAGTTGGTCCTTGGAGGGGTTGACTCCGCTCACTACAAGGGTCACTTTACCTTTCCATCGGTCACCAAGAGAGAACATTTGACGTGTGTTTCAGGCAGGGTTCTGAGTGGTCTTCTAGTGGCAAGGCGGAGTTGGTCCTTGGAGGGGTTGACTCCGCTCACTACAAGGGGGACTTTACCTTCGCATCGGTCACCAAGAGAGAGCACTGGACGATCAGGATTGACTGGTGAATACCCTTTTTCATCATATAGCTTGATAGAAGTATGTAAGCTCATTATATCCCATCGTATACACTTTCTAAAGAAGTAAATCATTAATTCGTCGTTCTTTTTCATGAAATACAGTACAGTAAATCTTTCGGCATTTGAACAGTTTTTAAAAATTGACTTCATGTTGTTCGCTTTTCAGAGGTTGTCTTGTTTTTCAGACGGTGTCTTGAAATGAAATGAAGTAAAATGAAAATTATTTCTTTAAACAGGCAAAGTAGGTTCACATGGTCCTTTATTATACTTGACCTGTGGATAAAAAATTGAACATAAACATGTCTTGCACACGTATTTTCAAATACACATTTATTAAAAATTATGAAAAAATAATCTCCCTAGCCAGTTCAGTCGTGTTATAAGTTAAGTCAATGGTTATATTCTGTAGGATCTTCTGTCATCACTGCACCTCTATCATTTGGATGTAACTATTGATGTCTACCCTAGTAACTAAACGGTCAATAGTATCGTATTTTACAATTACAATTATGGGTCGAATAAACACTACTAACTTTTGATCGTTCAAACATACCTATTTACAGAGTTCTTTGGTTTTCAGCGTAAAGCTTGGATCAAAACAAGTTCACTCCTCCTACAAGGCAATGGTAGACTCCGGCACTACTTTCTTGTACGGGCCCAACAAAGCCATAGACACCATCAATAAAGCACTCAACGGGACCTATGACGACATCTACTTATATGTAATGTTATTTTTTTTGCAAATTAAATACATATTGTGTAATTGCGTTATTTAGTAGCTTGTAGCTAAATAGCTTAATAGCTTAGTAGTAAATGCCGGAATGTATTTTTTTTTTACTTTTGTTCGCTTTATTTCTACAGTATATAATTTTCGTTTTGTTATCTAGATATTAATGTTTGCTGTATTATTTTTAAGTAAAAAAATACAATGTACTTATGTATACAGGATACAATTGATTTGAAATACAATATTATTTCATTTCATTTCATTAGTAAACAATTATAGCTGGAATAGCTACTAAACACATATTCATTGAATGAGTAAAACTTTGTTATTCTTGGTTTTATTATTCTAAAAATATGTTAAAAAATTAGTAATTCGTCAGGAGAAATAATTTTACAATTACGTTTTTGTTGCTGTGCAGTAGTACCACGATTATTCGTGAGTAGTACTATTTGTGATCTGAACGGCCTTTGGTGAATCTTTTATTTCAGTCATGTATATACATACACCACAATCATTAATCTGTATGTTGTATGTTAGGTCGATTGCTCCAACATTAGCAAGTATCCTGACGTAACTTACGTGATAAGTGGAAAATCTTTTGTACTGCACCCTTCCGACTACATTGTCAAGGTAGGTTCGTGTTCTGTATAAACCTAGTTGCTGTTATATGGAATTACCTACTCCAAAGGGTGTACAATTGCAAATTGTAAAATGTGGTGATCCTTACTAAATAATTGTTAGCGTTAATAGACCATGATAAAAATAACGCAGAGTTTATTAATAGCATTTACTTTGGAACGAATTCGTTTACACTGCTGTCATACAGAAGAACAATTTTTAATATTTGACAAACGGTTTGGCTTGACAGTGGCTAAAAGTTAATACCAATCAGTAAGGAGATATATGTTGAGAGGTACAGTGAATGTGGGGGAAATTATATTCAGGTGTTCACGACCTTATCATAACTGTTCAGAAGTCATAATTATATGCTGTTATTTCACCGTTGCAGGTAAAGGACAAACACAAATGCATCAGTGGTTTCATAGGGTTCTACGACCTCTCGTTCTTCGTACTGGGTGACGTCTTCATGAGGAAGTTTTACACTCAGTTTGACATGGGCAACAATCGTGTGGGCTTCGCTACTGCCAAGTGAACTAACGGAATTATTGTCTACGATTCTACTACTAATAAAATCATTTTAAAATTGTGTATTTAAAAAAATACCCATACTATTAATGTTCATGAGTTTACTTCAAAATTATTGTAAAAATACCTTTATAAAACTACCTTTATAAAAACTATGAGAAAATAAAATGTTCAGAATAGAGTAGGCCTACACTTAAGGGGAAGTGAAATAATGATTTTTTTTCAAAAAAGTGATTTTTTTAAAAATTTGGCTATCATTTATTATTTATAATGTTAAAAATAAGAAACATTGGTCAAAAAAATTTTTTTTTATGCTTAGGCTTTATTAAGAAAAATACCGAAAATAGTTTTTAAAAATCTGGTCATTGACTTATTTCAGTAATAATAATAATTATTATTATTATTAATATTATTATTATAATAATTAAGTAATAATTACATAATAATATAATAAATAACAATAAAATGCTTGCATATAAACGGTATCAGCATTCTGACACATACTTTCTCCCATAAGTTTGTCAACAACCTTTATCATGTAACATAATTTACAATAAATTTTGAACCGTAATTTTTACTGAAATGGGATTTGTACCATTTTGTTCAGAATTTAAAGGGATACAACATACTAAATTTTTATCAAAATTGTTCTGGCTATTTTCGAGAAAATCTGATTTTATGGGCTTTTATAGGAAAATCCCCAATAAAAATCTTAATTAAAAAAAATAAAAATAAAAAATAAAAAATAAACCTGGAGATATCATGGATTAGAACCTACATACCAAATTTTAGCGAAATCGGACCACAGGTGTAGTCCCTAGCTCTGTATACATCCAGACACACCCACGCATACACATACACAAACATCACTTCGAAAACCACTTTTTTGGGTCCAGGGGGATCCTAAAAGAATATATCCACTCAAAACTCAAACTCGAAAATTTTACACAACAATACTTTCTCCATATACGATGGTATAGGGGGAAAGTAAAAGTGATCCATAACTCAACAATCAGTATCACCATAACACTGCCAAGTGTAACTTTTAGCGTGTGATTCCTGCTAATCAGTTAACATTTTCAACTACTAAATTTGATAAATCTTCAAAACAGTTTATGCTACATAATTCAAATTTTTACCGAGTGTTTAGAATGTTATTATTTAAATAATTAGGTAGAATTGTAAATGTATGTCTATTCTAAAGTGAACGAAGATATTTTGATTTCCACAGAAAACCAATTTCTTTTTTCAAATTACAAAATGACACATAACAAAGTATTAAATCAAGATACAGTTATAATTCTACCTAAATATTTAGAGGGCATTATTCCCTGCAAACTGATGGTTTAATGATTAAAATCCAACAATTAGAACTGAAGTTATACCAAATTCAGTTAATAACGTAAAAAAACAAAAAAAGATTACTAAGGGTGTACTTGACGAAATAAATTACTTTTAACTATGTTTATACTTATTCTTATGCCTAAAAAACACATTGTATAAGTTTGAAAGACCTAGTGATAATGTTAAGGAAGTTAGCATTTTCACTGCCATAGTGCCATATCCCCTTAGGATGCATTTACGGTTGGTATGTTTATTTTGTTACTTTTTAAATATAATAACATTTCTCTCCAACAATGGTTGGATGACTAAAACGATACATGTTCAAACACGAATATGAGATAACTGTAGAATCTTATAAATAGTTTACTAGATTAAGCCAAGCAATAAGCCAAAATACTTAAACATCTTTATTAGTAAGAAAATAAGTAGTAGAAGAAAATGAATCCTGAATCCTGAAATGTATTGATATTGTTTATATTTAACCTAAGTTTCAGACGATACCCACAGTATGACACCGAGTTTTGGACGGGTATTATCGTGATTTCTTGAAACGGTGCTGGAAACCAATATTGTAATAAGAGCTTAGAAATTTAATATCATAATCACTCCTTTCACCTGGGAATATTTGAGTGGAAATATATCCAGAAATGGATGATCTTTTATTGAAGGAGATTATATTGAAGTGATTGAAAGTCAAATCAATCCAAACAAAATTAAATCCGTTTGTTAAAGCTTATTGAATTTGAGTATTGGGCTGCAGATCGACTGTTTCAGCTTATACCCCGTGTCCATAAAATATTCAGCAAATATTAATTACATAAATATCACTCAATTTTTCCCCATTATACTGTGGCTGACACGTGTTTCAAGAGAAATTTTTTAAGTGTTATAATCATATGTTCGTAGTTCATTCTTACCCTTTTGGTTTACTTTCATTAATTGTTTTTAAAAAGCCTAAAATTAACCTTCTGATATAATAACAGTTTTGCTTTAATAAACAAACTACAGTAAATTAATATACCACCCTAGAGGTTTTATTATACAAAATGTAAATGCAGGTCTCTGAAAAATCACTGTATTTTTTACCTTCCTTTACTGATGGGAACAGTATGTAACTATTTTAATCACTCCAATAATAATTATATCGATACAAATATGGTTTTATTTCAAATTGTAGGTAAAAAGAATAATCTTCTAATAATAATAATCTCTTTCATGGTGAGGGTCAATGACGAAATATTATAATACCCTGATAACTCCGCTCAGTCTTGTGGACGCCTCTGCAAACACCACGTAGTTTTTGTTGTTGAGCACCCTGTACGTTTCGAGTCAGATCTACTATTTGAGTCAGCTAAATATTAACTTGTTGAGCATAAAGGCACGAGTCAATATTTAGTACAAAGTACACGACAATAATTGAGGCTTAACATATATTAGATCTAACTTGAGACATACGGGCAGCAGACAACTAAAATAACAGAACAAAACAAATATGAATACCCACAAACGGTGGAACAAAATTGTTTAAAAACAATCCGGCAAAAAATTACAATAAACATTTTTTTATGCAGACAAAAGTTTACTATTTTAAATTTTAATAGATCTTTATGAAATTATGGGTGTCGGGAACAAAAACAGAAATGACTCAACGACGAAAATGTAGACAATAAAAACATAATAAATGAAAAACACTTTTCTATAAAATAAGAAAATTATTAATATAATGTTTATGATAGTTCAGATATTAATGTAATGTTTATGATAGTTCAGATTATGTTCATGCGCTTTGACTAGGGAACCTTGTCTCCACTTATAACGTTAAAATGAGTATTTGCTGCTGCATTAGCACATTACTAATTACTTTCTGCGAGTATTAGGTTATATTACTAATCAATATTATCAGGCAGGAGTGTACTCAGCACTGGACTGAGCAGCAAGTAAGTGACGATACTTATACCGTTGGGAATATCACATGTATCAAGTGTAACACATGGCATCTGTTGTCAGACCGTGTAACTACTAAACATGGGTCGGCTCTTAGCTGACTTATGACTACTCTGTTAGCCCATTTGTTATTACTCTAGGCTTATGTTAGCCGCTAAAACATCTTTATTTTAATTAACATTTGTTTTACTTAATGTTCTGGAGGTTGAACAGCTTTTAAAATTAATTGAGATTAAAAAATAAGAATTTGCAGCAATGGAGTTTATTATACAACATTTTAAAATTAATAAACCATACAAATTTAATTACTGGACGGGAGAATGTTGTTTATATAATGCAATAAAAAAATATTTTTTTGCAGTTTCGAGTCAAAAAATAGAACTGAAGTCAAAAATATATTGAGTTGTGGTTTGGATGTCACTTGTCGTAACATGCGTGGGGAAGTCTCAGTCAATGTACAAACTGATCGGATACGGATTTATCTTTAATTATTCATATTCTCGTTTCGTGATAATATCATCCACGTGATATATATTCAGAGTTAGTCACTACTGAATGCATTAATTTGAACAGCTTATTTTAATCGCCAAAAGGAACAAAAAATGTATATAAACCATGGTCTGACCTTTACAGTTTAGCTGTTATGGTGTAATTTGTGATTTTTAAAATAACACGATTTTATACTTTTGATTTGACGTCATAAACCAAACCCAAGTATGAAAGAGATTAAAACTAGTATAATTTGAAAGAAGGTTAAATTTGCTGCAAATTAAACACACTACAAAAGTAACAACTCTTTATACAATGGTTTGAAAATAGCTTTAAATGTAACATATATTTTTATTAAAATTTCTGTTTAAATTGAATGGCCAATGAAAGCCAGTAAAATGTTTGGTATTTGAAAAAATGCAGGCTCTTTCAGTTTGTACAGGGAAAAGAAGAAGATAAAAATGTGAATATGGGCGGGACAGATTATCGTTGTTAAGAAACCTTTACCATCTTGAAAATTAATATTTACATTAAACCTGAGTTAAGAGTATAAGTGCTCAGTCATCTATGATACTGTCGTCTAAAAGCCTTTGAAGTATCTCGTCAGAAATGTTGTCAAAATATAATTTTGATTTCAGGTAAAAACCATTACGGTGCAGTGTAATCTCTTATCTAAATGTCTCAATAGTACTTGACTGCTTCTCAGGGAAGTATGCTATTCAAGCCACTCGTCAAATACGAGACAATCAGATGGAGCTGTAAACATTTACAACATTTACTTTATCACTAACGTTTTGGGGAAATCCTCAGTTGTGTAAATCTTATACTAGTTAATAACCATTTAAGGGAAATCCATTTGTCATTCAGGAAAAATATACTTAATCTATTTTGTGGAAAGAAGATAAAAAATAATAATAAGGATAAAATAAAATTCAGTAAATTTTATCATTCTAAAGACTAAAACTCACTTATAGTGTAAATGAACAAACGGAGAGTATCGTTTCAGTACGTTTTAACAAAAATCATTCTTAAATTATATGATTTTTAGTTGTCAGATGAAAGGCTAAACTATTCAGGTTTGCCTATACTGTACAACTATAAATCATGATATTAACGTTCTTTATTTCCATCTTTTTTAACTTGGTGTCGTTTGTTAGGGAACTTAAAATGCTAATTAAAAGTGTTATTGAATTTTTTTTTATAAAATAAGCTATATTTTAGAAATTTAAGTATACAAAATTTAAATGGCCACTGTTTTGAAAATTTAAATTGGATCATGATAAATTTTGTTCTAACATTGGTCTCGTTTACTTTAACACACATACGAAATTTAATGAAGATTGGTTCAAACAATACAAAATTGGTGGATATCTGCTTAACGATGCGATTTTGGGAAAGATACTATTCTTGAACTTTTACCCAAGAAATCACTTCGTAAATAATGTTCCCACCTTTTTTGAACTTCCCGTATAGGTGGATAATAGGCTTAGTATTAGCTAATTTCCCTGATAGGGAATACGTTATTAGCGGTAGGTCTTAGGTAGGTATTAGTGGTAGGACCTGGCCCCAGGGGGTCGCCGGAATTTTATCCCCCTGGGCAAAGCTGACGTAACTATGACTTAGTAACCTGAGCGCTCAAAAGTTTGGTCGCGGGCGGAATTTTAGGCCCGCGTATTTGTAAGTCTAATGAAAATAGACAGAGCGTGACTAATTAGATTAGCAATATAGATTAGCAATAAAAACCGGAATTCTACCCCCTGTCCATATAACTGGCGTTTAGACAACTGAAGATGTACGGGCCGGATTTAACCCCCGGATTTTTACCCCCGGATTTTGACCCCCCGGAATTTTACCCCCCGGAATTTTACCCCCTGGCCGGATATAGAAATTATTAGGAATGATTGATTTACCTATTTCTGTTTTTATTTAATTGTAAACATTTTATTTTTAAATAGCCTATCTTTTTTATTTATTTTGGAATCCCAACTAAGTAAGCATAATTCACTGTTTAATTTTGACGTTCGGGATTTGCGTTTGGGGCTAACTGTTAGTTAATAAGTATATAAAATGAACTGAGTAGCTCATTTAAATGATAATTGAGTGAACATTTCTTAAACGATTTCATTGTACCACAGTGAAACACAATGTATCTCGTTTCTGTAGTACAGTACAATAGCACAAAACAAAAACATTATTTTACCTCGGTTGTATAATAAATCGTTAAAGAAATCTTCGAAACAATTACCATTCAGATGTTTTTTTTATACGTCATATAAACCAACAGTTGGTTCAAAGATCGAATCCTGATACTCGAATCTCAAAATTAAAATTAAAAACCTGTTCGATTAGTCAATGTTACAAATAAATTAAGGTAGGCTACTTAATAATAAAATGTTTGGTATTAAATTAAAACTGAAAGAAGATCCATTCTCACTTATTTATATATCTGGCCAGGGGGTAAAATTCCTGGGAGTAAAAATCCGGGGGTAAAAATCCGGGGGGTAAAATTCCGGGGGTAAAATTCCGGGGGTAAAAATCCGGGTTACATTTTGAGCTGACCTTATGAAGGGGGTAAAATTCCGGCCCGTACACTCTAGGTTTTTATAATTTTATGTGTTCTGATTAAACTCACAACCGTGAAAATATACGTTTAATTCCGCGTTTAATCCATTGAACTGGTGTTGCAAAACTCAAAAGTTTGCGGCCGCAATTTTACTCCCTGGTTTGTGACGTCAAAAATCCGCTACCCCGCCCCAGGACCGATTATCTTTTTTGTCTTAAGTTTGGACCAGAGGCCAAAAACACCATTCGTTCAAATTCATATGTATATTCATTCCGGACACACATACAAACGTACAAATCTACGTTTATTCTAAATAGTTTGCAAACCAGCATGCCCTAACTACGGAAACGGGGTATTATGGGTATTAAGAATAGGGGGTTTCCCCCTTTTGACCCTTAAGAAATAAAAATTTGCAATTGCTTTCTAGATAATTTTAGAGAACTTAAAAAAACAATAATTTAGGATATTGATTAGTTGTTGTACGCTAAATGGTCACGGAAAATGTTTCCTAAACCCGTATATTAAAAAAGGTCTATGTTATTCGTATGGAGAATAAGTACACTGTGGTAATTTACTTCTTCATAGATACATCTGTTATCAAATTTGGAATTTTTTTCGTGTAATACTAATCCATTACAGTTTTACTGGAAACCCACTTTATTAAACTCTCCGTAGCAGCAAACCTAATTTCTCGTTAAACGTAATTTTATGAAAAAATTGTATGTATATGAAACATTAAATACATCTTTGGTCGCAATTAAATTATGTGAACGGGAATTCGCTTCGTCTGCGGGTTCGCTGTGCATTAATTATGATTATATCATTTGATATAATATCATATGATAAATCAATTGATTTGTAATATTTTTTGAGCTAACGTAACACAGTTCCAGTAAAAATTGAGTAATCTAGTGATAGATACACTTCTATTTAAGAGAAAATAACCATGTCTAGTTTCAATTGTTCATCTGAACAATCATAGTTTTGTTAATCTGATGTTTGTTGTTGTTGTTTTTGTTGCCTAATTTATACAAACTAATGCCAATATTGGCCACTTATCTGTGTAGTTTATTTCTGATTTACTATGAGTGCTATGTAGAAGGTACTAAACACACTTTTAGGTTCGCCTTTCAACAATAGATAAGAGGAACCTATCATCTCAGCTTGTTGAAGATGTCAGGATCTATTAAATCTTGTTATTCTGCCTCTTTACAATCAATTAACTTTAAGATAAGCTTTATATATTGAAGTGAATTTCGATAAGGACACGGTTGGTATAAATAAGATCACACAGGTGTATCTGTAGCCACTAGTAACATGCGAGTCTTCATTGTATGTGTGGTCGCTGCTCTCGCGGCGTGCGCTTCAGCCGCCATCGCCAGGTAAACTTTACTACATCTTGCCATATTGGATACTAAAGTAGACATATCTTCTAGATGGACCTCATCCAACAGATTTTGTACAGATTTTGTCGGGGTAACCAAGTGGAATACACACCTCCGTACCAAGTGGCACACTAATGGAGTCACTATTGTAGATATGATATTTTCTCCCTTATTTTCTGAAACACATCTTATGTGATAAAAAAGCTATAGTTTAAATTAAGTGTTTCATTTTAGGCTTGCTTAAAAAGTTAGTATGTTTAATGGAAATCAGTTATTGATATCAACGCATATTGAAAAGGTTACATGAAGTATGCCGTATCGGAATGCTTATTTAGTTACATATGTTCAAGACTGACTTAGGACATAAGAGCATTTGGGTATAAGTATAATTAAAATAATCCACCCTCTAAAAAGGTTCAGCAGACGAATTATCAGATATAAGTAAACATCTGAGTCAGTTATCCAACTGATGTGGTTAACCAGCTCTGACAAGCTACTCTACGGTAGCTAGTTCTCTTGCTAGGCCCGCAAAGTTATGCGGTAAATCAACCATTATTGGCGTCCTTAAACAGTGCACATGTACTCAATGTTTAAGTGCTCATCCACGGCCTAGAACGTTGACCGTGAGTCTGGGCAAACATCGTAAGCATGAGGGCAGCCTGGTCTCCTACAAGAACCATCTGAGGTCTGTACAGACACTGAGAGACGAATCTGACATCACACTACAGGATGTACAGGACGTAAGTATCGTCCACAATCAACAATTACAATTAATCTAATAATAGTAAATGATCACAACACTCTTCTCGCTGGTGCTCGTTGGACAAAGTGATTTACAGGAGTGCAATCGCAGTATTTGAATTTGAATTGTTGCCGTGGACGAGTCTAAACGCTCAGGAGGGAGGAGGTAGCTTCGTCGTCAGCATAGCATTGGTGTAATCTATTGCAATTGCACAAATGGCCAGCTGAAGTAAAAATACTGAAAAAAAAGATTCGTATGGCATAAAAACAATTTCCCCCGAGCAAAGCTCGGTCCCGGAATACTTTATTTCATATGCTATTGGTGTTGGTTTAATATTAAAGTTATTTTAAAAAGCTATTTTTTTAAAACAATTTTAATAAGTATTTATAAATAAATATTTAGCATTTTGATGTATAAACTTATTCACGGTGGCTGAAATGTCTGGTTTACTTCATTCTCTTACCAGGATATCCTCACCATCCATCGTTATAGAAATTATCAAGAATTTAAGAAGTTCCAGTCCAGTCCAGTCTAACCCCATCTACTTTTACAGATGTACTACTACGGACCAATGACAATCGGCACCCCGGCTAAGACTATACAAGTTTTGTTTGACACTGGATCTTCTGACCTATGGGTACCCTCCAGGCAAATGTGCAGAAACCACAACCAGTACTGCAGTAAGTAATTATTACAAAAATATTTTTTTAGCAATGATTTACAATTTTTAAAACGATGAGAATCTATATCCTACTTAATCTAAATACATAATGCAACACTAGATTAATGAATTTTTAAAGAAAATTACGTTTTCCAATTACACATTTACAAGAAGTTCAAACCGTGTAAATATGTTGTTTAGAACAGCACAGCACGTACAATCACAAGAAGAGTAGTTCCTACCACAGAAATGGAAAACCTTTCAGCATCCAATATGGAAGTGGAAAGGTTTCAGGGATCGTCTCTCAAGAAAATATTGCTGTAAGTTAACAAGGATATATAAATTACACATTTTTTTTTAATATTTTAGAATAGCTGTATTTTTGCGTTTTAACGATGTATATTATCATGTGACTTGTTGACCCCGCATAAACTGTAAAATTTACCATCAATTTGAAAACATAAAGGCTACTTGGTAACCACAGTAAATCTACCATAAGCCTGCGATTTAATTGCAGAGTTGAGTTACAGGTGTTATTACAAAAATTACAATCTAGCCTTAGTTACTAACAAGACTACAAGATCACGCCACTCATCCTACACTCACCTCCATTCATACTTGGCTTAAAATACCTACTTTCTATGGTCGCCATTTCATTGAAAAGTATTAAAAGTATTACGCTTTAGGCGAAAACTTGAAAGTGACCAAATGGCCCAATGATAATGTCTAAACTAGATATTTATACTTAAAATAATTTTCACATTAGTCTAGAGTGATGATAAATAATAAATGCTATATAAAATAATGTAGTTGCCCCCCAAGTGTCATGTTACAATAATTTGAATAAATTCTCAGCAAGGGTAGATTGAATGACAACATTCTTAAGTTGTGTATAGTATTATCTTCATGGATCCTCAAACTTCTTTCCAAACATTTAGCAGATGGCATATAAACGCCTTACATTCGTTCACAGTTAAAATAGTAACCATTGACTATTGGATACTGAAGTAGTAACCCAGTTAATACAGACTATGTAGGACTACGTTATGGTTATATTCAGTAAATGTGTTACTCAGGTGGGGGGCCTACAAGTGACCAGTCAGCTGTTCGGAGAAGCTACCTCCGTGGACCAGCAGACTGCGCAGAGCCAGTTCGATGGCATCCTCGGACTCGCCTACTCTGACCTCTCTGAGATACAGACCGACCCTCCATTCGTCAACATGGTCAACCAGGGGGTCGTCGATGACCCTGTGTTTGCTTTCTACTTAAACAAGTATGTACAGAATTAAGTACAATCTTCCAACACGAGTCTATATAGTTGAATAGGTTTCATTAAGTTTTAACAATAACAATTTTAATGGAAAATTGTTCTACGTATAGGGCAGAGTCTGAAGAGTCGTCAGAAGAAAGTGAGACTGCAGAGCTAGTTCTCGGAGGTGTAGACCCAGACCACTACACTGGGGACTTTACCTTTACTCCTGTTACCAAACAGGCGTACTGGCAGATACAGATTGACGGGTAAGTTAGTATCCACTATGTGCGAATAATATTACATTTGTAAAGAGTTTATTTGGTGTGGTTAAGGAAGTGCACAACAATCCACATTGGATCAACCCTCTTCATGGTAGTGCAAACAATCCAAGATTGTGTTGTGCATGTACTGCTTGGCAATGAAAAGCTCAAGTTCTGTGACATAGTCATGACCCTGGTCGGGACAGTGGTCTGTCTCACTCTCACTTACCCTGGCATTTCACTAACGTTTGCTTAATTGCTATGGGAAATGCATCAAGCACATTGCGGAATCTGTTTGACTCACTCTTCCAGAGACTGTAAAATTGCATCTGGTTTATATTATTTAGTTTTGTCAGTGCAGTTATTATGGTAACCACATCACCCGAGAACAGATCAGCCGTCTTCGCAGCTGCAACATTCACACAGTACGGTTCGTCTACGGTCTCCTCAAGCGCGAGCACATCTCCCGTTTTCAGGATGTTGCTGTTCTCTTACCAGCTGATGCTGTATGCAGAACCCAAACTTGTTGTCTATTTAGGATTCAAAGTACCTTAGGGAGAGACCACAGAAACGTGGAGCAATGGCTCGACGGGTCACTTGGCATGACACTTTCCATTACTGTAGTTAGTTTGGGGCTCTCCTAATTCAGCCAAAAATTACGAAGATCTCCCCTATCAATAAAAGTATGAAAGATTTATTACCTTCTTATAAATAAATCTTTCTTTTTTAAGCAGTTAGTACTTAAAGTACTTTGTTTTTTAACCCCTCTTTGATATTTTTCTGTAACAGTTTATGCGTTATCCCCCGTTCATACTTTTGCCATCCTTGTAATGTTGTAGAATCCAGTTGGGCAAGAAGAAGATCTTGTCGTCTTACGCAGCCATTCCAGACTCTGGAACTAGCTTGTTGTATGGTCCCTCAAAAGCTATGAACCAAATCAACAAGGCTCTTGGTGGAACATATGATGAAGGCATTTACGTTGTAAGTGTCCTCTGACTGTTGATGTAAGGAACGAAACTCGATGATCATGCTTCTCAGTGGGCTTTATACTTTGTGAGGATTTGTTTTCATAATGTACCGAGTTTGAATATAGTGCAGTTAATAAATATAAAATTAAACCAACAACTGTCAGTATACGCAGTCCGATACTTCAACATTGTAAACAATATAATTTGGAAAATTGTTACATAAGTCAACGTGTTAAAAAAGTAATGAAGTATAGTCCTAAAAGAGTGGAACCTAAGACAATGACATACATTTTACGCTTGATGACAAAAGTAACATGGTTACTCTCAATTATAAATCTTCCGTGATCAAAGTTAATGTTTAAATAAGTTATGTTAAGAAGTTTTGAATATTAAGCACATCTATACATTATTTTGATTGTTTATAGGTGGACTGTTCTCAAGTCAGCTCATTTCCCGATGTTTCCTATATAATCAACGGACAGAAGTTTACTCTGACTTCCTCTGATTACATACTACAGGTAACGATATACAATACACTTTACAACAATAACAAACCTTTTCCAAAAACCCCATACAAAATTGTATTTATTGCTAATACTATGCAGGATTGTGCCACATACATAAGAAAACAAAACATGAAATAAAAAGCATAAAGTAATTTAGTTAACAAACGAAAACCATAAAAATATGCTTTACACAGATATTTCAAGATTGTAAAGAATTTCTGCTGTAACCAAGTGTTGTTTGTAAAGATATTTTGAATTCAAAGTATACATGCTTTAGCACACCTAGTGTTCGTAGGCTCAGACCAGATGCCCTTCATCATCTTGGGAGATGTGTTAGTTTATGCGCAAGTATTAAACACAGTGTTCTGTGTAGGTTAACAGTCAAGGAGACAGCGACGACGTAGTGTGTATCAGCAACTTCGTAGGCTCAGGCCAGATGCCCTTCATCATCTTGGGAGATGTGTTAGTTTATGCGCAAGTATTAAACACAGTGTTCCTCGTAGGCTAATAGTCAAGGGAACAGCACCGACGTAGTGTGTATCAGCAACTTCGTAGGCTCAGACCAGATGCCCTTCATCATCTTGGGAGATGTGTTTATGCGCAACTATTACACACAGTGTTCTGTGTAGGTTAACAGTCAAGGAGACAGCAATGACGTAATGTGTATCAGGAGCGTCGTAGGCTCAGTCCAGATGCCCTTCATCATCTTGGGAGATGTGTTAGTTTATGCGCAAGTATTACACACAGTGTTCTGTGTAGGTTAACAGTCAAGGAGACAGCGACGACGTAGTGTGTATCAGCAACTTCGTAGGCTCAGGCCAGATGCCCTTCATCATCTTGGGAGATGTGTTAGTTTATGCGCAAGTATTAAACACAGTGTTCCTCGTAGGCTAATAGTCAAGGGAACAGCACCGACGTAGTGTGTATCAGCAACTTCGTAGGCTCAGACCAGATGCCCTTCATCATCTTGGGAGATGTGTTTATGCGCAACTATTACACACAGTGTTCTGTGTAGGTTAACAGTCAAGGAGACAGCAATGACGTAATGTGTATCAGGAGCGTCGTAGGCTCAGTCCAGATGCCCTTCATCATCTTGGGAGATGTGTTAGTTTATGCGCAAGTATTACACACAGTGTTCTGTGTAGGTTAACAGTCAAGGAGACAGCGACGACGTAGTGTGTATCAGCAACTTCGTAGGCTCAGGCCAGATGCCCTTCATCATCTTGGGAGATGTGTTAGTTTATGCGCAAGTATTACACACAGTGTTCCTCGTAGGTTAATAGTCAAGGGAACAGCACCGACGTAGTGTGTATCAGCAACTTCGTAGGCTCAGGCCAGATGCCCTTCATCATCTTGGGAGATGTGTTAGTTTATGCGCAAGTATTAAACACAGTGTTCCTCGTAGGTTAATAGTCAAGGGAACAGCACCGACGTAGTGTGTATCAGCAACTTCGTAGGCTCAGACCAGATGCCCTTCATCATCTTGGGAGATGTGTTAGTTTATGCGCAAGTATTTAAACACAGTGTTCTGTGTAGGTTAACAGTCAAGGGAACAGCACCGACGTAGTGTGTATCAGCAACTTCATAGGCTCAGACCAGATGCCCTTCATCATCTTGGGAGATGTGTTAGCTTATGCGCAACTATTACACACAGTGTTCTGTGTAGGTTTACAGTCAAGGGGTAGGGGACAGCAATGACGTAGTGTGTATCAGGAGCTAGGCTCAGATGTGCTCGTTGGCTCAGACCAGATGCCCTACATCATCTTGGGAGATGTGTTTATGCACTCTGTGTAGGTTAACAGTAAAGGAAACAGCAATGAAGTAGTGTATATCAGGAGCTTAGTAGGCTCAGACCAGATGCCCTTCATCATCTTGGGAGATGTGTTTATGCGCAAGTATTACACACAGTGTTCTGTGTAGGTTAACAGTCAAGGAACCAGCAATGACGTAGTGTGTATCAGCAGCTTCGTAGGCTCAGACCAGATGCCCTTCATCTACTTGGGAGATGTGTTTATGCGCAAGTATTACACACCGTGTTCTGTGTAGGTTAATAGTCAAGGAGACAGCAATGACGTAGTGTGTATCAGCAGCTTCGTAGGCTCAGACCAGATGCCCTTCATTATCTTGGGAGATGTGTTTATGCGCAAGTATTAATCACAGTGTTCTGTGTAGGTTAACAGTCAAGGAGACAGCAATGACGTAGTGTGTATCAGCAGCTTCGTAGGCTCAGACCAGATGCCCTTCATCATCTTGGGAGATGTGTTTATGCGCAAGTATTACACACAGTTCGACATGGGCAACAACCAAGTAGGATTTGCAACGGCACAGTAAACGTCATATCATCATACTATACACTAACTCATAAGATGTAATGTATCAAGCTACTTTAAAAATATATATTTTTTATTCCTCTATTTTTTAGAGATATGACGTTTTCTTAACCAATTTTTGGACACCCGAAAAATGTCGCAGAAGTATATTGAAATCTTAGTAAAATAACTCTGATTTTAGTAAAATATTGATCAGTTAAATACCATAGTGTTTATACTCTGGACAAAATGAATCTACTCAGGGGTGGGTATTGCTGTATTGCATACCTTACGTCGTATTATTTTTACCACGATTCTAATACTAAGAAATGAGCCAAATCGAGTGTTCGATTAAACGTAATTGTTCTAGTAAACGTATAATTTGCAGTAACAATTAATGAATATCGCAGAATGGTAGGCTTTCTGCTTGAATAATACTGTACAATAAAGCTTTTATAGTACCAGGAAGAGCTGATTTTTAGAATAACTTAAGGTTAGCAATATTTAAAGCTGTCTTGAAATACAATTTAATTTGTTTTGAGGAGAGAAATACATTGTGTAATATTTTGTAAAATTTGTTGTAGTCTAAAACAATTTATAATAAAAAAATATTTAGCAAATAATATATTCAATCGGGTTCTCACTTATTAAGATGTAATAAGCCAAAATTATAACTACTTAACGTAACCTATATTATTATTAATAACTGTATTTTATAATTCTAACTCTAACTGGAGGAATTTTGTGTTTATAGGGAGTATATTCAGGTATCATCGTGACATGGTAAAATAATCAGTACTAATAAAATTAACCTTCTGTCTGTACATTGTTTGAATGTGAGTAAAGCTAAATGGAATCATTGATAAACAGGTACACCGATCATAGGTAGGCTTCATGTAAAAAATAATTTCTTTTATAAAACAAGAACGTTAATTTAATGAATTAAATTAATTTTATGCACTTACTAGCAATAATTAGATTTCATTCTTTCCATGTGAGTACTCCTCCAATAAGTATTTGCTGCGGCATTAGCACATTACTGTACTAACTACTTTCTGCGAGTATTAGATTTGATTAATAACCGATAATATCAGGAGTGTACTCAGCACTGGACTGAGCAGCAAGTACTGTAAGTGACGATACTTATACCGTTGGGAATATCACATGTATCAAGTGTAACACATGGCATCTGTTGTCAGGCCGTGTAACTACTAAACATGGGTCGGCTCTTAGCTGACTTATGACTACTCTGTTAGCCCATTTGTTATTACTCTAGGCGTATGTTAGCTGCTAACACATCTTAATTCAATTTAATAACGTTGAAAACATAATCGGAAAAGAACGAAGAATATCACATTACAACTATTTTCATGTAATGTATGAACTTTTATACACTTACCATTGTATTTCAAAACAAAACTCAACCGTACATAGTGTGCATCAGCAGTAAGCAATTTGATCGAATTTTATTTCCTTTAAGGTAAGGGATGAAAAATCCTTGAGTAACCTAGTATGATAATCAATTGTCAACTGTACGAGAGTACTTATGAGTTTGACGTACATAAGCCAAACCTCAACTCCTTACTCCGCTGATCCGAGATCTGTAGTAGGAATATTACACATTGATGCTGGTCTCATTTCATTTTTCTCTCATATTTATCATGGGGGAGCTTTTCTTTGTTTTTGCCGACCCCAGAGGTGTCATGAGATTCGTGCTTCAGTGATGAATACCATCGGGGTCTATATGTTATCCTCCTGATTGCGAACGGTCTAGATTACAAGCACGTATGTTTTTGGGTTTGGTACCTGTGGGGGTCGTGATTGCGAACACATTCTACTATGTCCATGTTAAGCACGGTAAGCATGGCAAAATTGTTGTCTTTCTGCTTGAATAATACTGTACAATAAAGCTTTTATTTACAGGAAGAGCTGATTTTTAGAATAACTTAAGGTTGGCAATATTTAAAGCTGTCTTGAAACACAATTTTATTTGTTTTGAGAAGGGAAATACATTGTGTTAAAGCCATTGTACGTTCGCAACTTTTTTATAATAGATGTAATCTTTGATAATAGTTATAATTTCCTTATCAATAAACTGCATATAGCTATTTTTACTTTCTTACTCTGAACATGGTATATGGAGGAAGCATTGTTTTCGCTACCATTTTCAAGTTTGAATTTTGGGTGGATATATCCGTTTTAAGACCCCTTTAACCCAAAAGTGAGCGTGTCAGTAAGTATGTGTACAGAGCTACATACCTTACCTGTTTTTAGATTTTGATGAAATTTTGTATTTGGGTAGTAATCCTATAGAATCCCCAGGGATTGTTTCATTTTTTTAAAATGTGATTTAAATTTACTTGTAAATTAATCTATTTAAATTTGAATTACAACTGGATCCTTACCCAGTGATGATAAAAACACTGGTTCTCTTATCCTCTTACTCAATACTTGGGTCATGGGATGGATAAAAAATGTTGTCAGATTGTTACTATACCTCAAACAGGAAATCAGCAGTAAAAAAATCAACAGAGACCCAGGGTTTGCCTGCCCGTGTGCTATGTGCCTTCTTCAAAAGAGTGGCAATAAAAAAAATATAAAAAAAACACACGGGCGGGCTTCAGGCTAAGACGTCAGAGCTTTTAAACCAATAAGATTTTCCTCCCTTGTTTATTTGGAAATTTTACAGATGCTGGTAGAACATTACATCCTTAAAATGAACTAAAAGACAGTACGAAAATTATCACTTGAAATTGAGGAGGCTTATTACAAAAGATCATATGACTCAAATTCATAGAATGGACTTGTTTTCTGTTGCACGAATGTCGTAATGTAAACAAATGTATGTCAAGAGTTACTGTAAACATTGTGAATTTTATTTTGGTCGCTGTGGCGATGGATTAGTAATACTGTATTTATACGTTAAAGCTCCAGTTCTAAACTTTTAACATCCACGGGTCGTAGTCTTAGGGGATTGTATGTATTGTATAAATATGCCTATGTGTTTCTCGGCTCATAATATACCTTTGTGTAAAGTGAAGCTTCATAAAATGAAGTACGAATTTTGTTACTACTTTATGATACAAACGTATGCACTGAGAGTGTAATAGACCCTCTTGGTCCTCCAGAAGCTGCAGTTGTCAAACATGAAAAGAAAACACAACCTTGCATGATAAACAATCTCTATGGTAATAATCTCTCATGAAAGAACTTGATCAAAGAATTCATACCATCTAATTACAGTTGTAAAAAGATAATGATCAAAATCAAAAGGTGCAGTGGTCTTACCACAAACCATATATAAATTGAGTTTAGGTTTTTGAGAACTTCCCAAATAATTATATACAAACAAGTTGGATTTAATTTTCAACATAGGCAACTTACTGCCACAGAGACATATTACGTTGCAGTGGCGAAGCCTACTCGTTGGTTTCCCCAGTCAAACTGAGTGTAGTATTTACGCATGAAAATGTCTCCTAGAATGATGAGGTCGGAACCTGAGTTGCCCATGATACCGTTGAAACATTCAGACTTCACCATGCCATCTTCCACCACGGTAATCTGCAGGGGAAAATATTAAGTCCTTTACTTCATGGTGGAAGGAAAAAACATTGGTGTGCTATTCCCGTTAAGGTCATCTGGCTAAAGACATTAGAGTGTTTAAAAAAAAACATACTATGGGAAGAGTTTCTCATGTAACTTTTTAAAAGTAAGATGAACATTTTAACTGGTCTGTCAGTCAGTATTCTGTAAGCCTACTCTGTTAAAACCTTTAGGCCCCTATTACACGAGGTAGCCTGGCGACGTCGCCAGCGACCAAACTGGCTACTCAGCTTGTCATGGGGCATTGATTCTTATGGATGTTATTACACGAGGGTAGCCAGCGACGCAGCCACACTTTGGCGACCGACTGGCTACCGAGCCCCGTCGCCACTGTGGTAGCCACTGGCTACCCATATTGGCGACGCTGCGTTGTAGCATATGGAGCTTATTTCACTAGGTCGCCAGTATTACGTCGCCACTCGGTCAGTTCATATCACGGGGGTACTTGCACACTGTTGTGTTGCGTTCTGTTGTGTTGTGAGTGTGTGAATTGTTCACTTCAGTTGATAAAATGTCTATATCATCCTTTATGACTCGAAGAAACTGGATTGTGACATACGAAAATAATTGAAACATTTTTTATTGTCCGCACAGAGCTCATCAAAAAGGGTGTAATATAACCCTTTTGATTTTCTTGCACTAAGCATTGGATGAACGTACATTTTTCTCTTCCTTTGCCTCCTTTTCTTCAGAAGTAACAGAAGGAGAAGATACTTATAATCACTCATTATTCACTGTAAACACCGCTCATAACAAGTACAAGTGCAAGACAAGCACTCACAACAACGGCGCCACGGCGGTAAAATTCTGGCTACTCAACTGGCTACTCAACTGGTTATAGGTTTGGTGGCCAGTGCGTCGCCAGCTACTGCCGCTGGCGACGTCGCCAGGCTACCTCGTGTAATAGGGGCCTTATTAAAACAGTATTGAGCTTAATATTTTTTTTTATTGTCAATTAAAAGTTTAGCTCCTAAAAGTATTAATTTTTTTCTTAAAGACAAGTTAAAAAGGTAATTTAAATTATTTAATGATATTGAAATATAGTTCACATTATTATTAACTAGTCTTTTCTAAATGGTGAAATAATGTTTGCAATCTGGGTGACGTCAGCTAATGACGGGAATAGCACACCTATGTGTTTTCATTCCACCATGCATTTACTTAGCAAGATGATAACAGATATAAACATGTATGTCATCTTATAACTAGCAAAACTTATTCCATAGCGTTATATTTGCATACGCATCAACATAATACATACGAGAGACCACATGGATCATAAACATAAACAAATGACGTTTTTTGCCCGAATCCTATACTAATAGCATTGGTTTAGACAGTTCCATATAAACAATGTTAAACAATGTTTACTTTCGGGCGAAAAACGTCATTTGTCTATGTTTATGATCCATACCGGGTCTTTTCTAGTATACGTGCGAGAGACACTCTTTGACTGTAGATATTTTTGATAGCGCTTAACCAGTGATAAACTTTTAGCACAGATATCTTGTACTTACTTTTCGTATATATTCTTTTGGTTCAAGGACCAATGGAGTTCCTCCAATCATGAGTGAGACTTCAGGTAATGAATCAATTGTATTGCAGTCAACCTGGAAGTCCCATAAACTCTTAAAACCTCAGAGCAAATACTGATGCTATGAAAAATTTAAAATTATTGAAACTTAGCTTCTATAAATTTATATTTTGTTACATGTAAAAGACACAGCCAGTATCAGTACAAAAATGGATGTATTCGTTTATATGAACGAATTATGAGCACTCGAAAGAGTGTTTCTGTAGCATTACACTGTTTTGGTTTTAACATATCAACTTGGAAATCGCACCCAATACTAACAAGAACCAGTATTTCGAAAGTAGCGTAGCGAGTGGTTAATTTGTTTTATCTCTTTGGATAAGACACTACAGCTAGAAAATGTAGTCTGCTGTAGTCTCAGAAGTTAGTTGTATATGTAGTGTATAACTTTAGTTTTACCACGTACAATATACGTATAGCTTTCGTGGCGTGATCCTGGCAGTGTAGTAGTTTGTTATATTTGACTGTGATTGGCAAATACCTTGGAAATTATAATATCGTTTGTATTTATCTTTGTTTTGAAATGCTACAGTTCCAATATTTTTACTTTTACGAAGTTAATAACGCAATATTTTATGGTTTAAAGTTGATAATAGGAAAGCTGCCCACTCCAGTACAATAAAAGCACATTTGCGTGCTTTGTCGCACTAAAAAGAAATAGTTATAAAGTGACAGCAAAGGCAGCTTGCACTCGTGTTATATTTTTCCAACAGTTAATATAAAGCATATAAATAATTAGTCTTTCAAACACTGCTCAACACGTTTTTAGGTTAGGTTAAATCATTGACTATATACCACAAATAGTTGTGGTATATAGTCAATGGTTAAATCCAAACATTGAACGAAATGGGAAACGCTGCACCAGCTGATTGTAGCGTAGTGAGCGTAGTATCTTTAAGTGTTGTGTAAACATATATATATCTAACAAAAAACCACTAAGAGGTAACACTTTCCCCGCCAAGTAAGCAATCCAAAAAAGATAATAAATCATTACTTTTTCCGCCAAGAAAAACAATGTAATGTATGTAAGTTTGGCAACTTGGCGGCAGACTTTTGATTGGTTTTTTTCATTAAAGTTACGTTCGTGGATGATTTCACAAATCAAGTTCCATAATTAATTAGTCCAACTATAATAATTTCGAGGTAATCAGTAAATATAAAACCATCACTATTATGATTTTATGAAATGTAGCACAAATAAGGTCAAATTTTGTAAAATAAGCTCTCACCTAGCAATGTACTAATGGGAGAGATACTTGCTCAATGAAACTAGTTTTATGGTAAAAACTTTTTGACACACGTACCAAAATTACTATTTAACAAACCCCCTGGGCTTAAACTCAGTTTCAAATTTCATCAATGGTCATCTTGAACAACATAAAATGTGTTGGTGTTACATAAGTGTTCTGATAATTAAACCTGTATATCTAAAGACTAGTGTAAATTGAGCCCTTATTAGAGAAGTAAAAATGTAACCAAACAGATTAGGCTTGTTAGAAATAGCATAAGGCAAAACAAATATCGAAAAACTCATTTATCCTAAATTTACATGGTATCACTTTTTAATTGCTTGTTTAACTTACGTAGAGTGATTTTCCCGATTGTTCTATTTGTTTTAGTGTATCAAAACATAAAACAAACCTTAGTACTAGTATATGTTTTGTTAAGTAGTATTAAACTGTTAAAAATGACGAGCTGCTGTACCAGTGTACCATCGGTACACTGCATTTTTCAATGGAAAGTATCGGGAATATCACTGCTCTAAGTAGTTTTATATAGTAAGTAAGTCAAATCATTCGGTATACATGAAAAAATACTTTATAAAAGTTTTAAAATAATTTTTCAGCTGTTCCTATGAATTTCTCCAACATTTAAATTAATTGAGATTTAATCGCAGCTGGTCCTTCTATTGTTTTGATTTTAATCCCATGTTATTTAAATGGGCCAAAATCGTTCTTTGAGGGCTTGCCAAGGGTTTATGGGTCAACGCACCGACTTGAGACCCTCAAAAGGCACATCTACACGTTAAGGGCTTTCAAACAACATAAAAAAATTAAAATTGAGCCAGTGGTTTGGGCTGTAGGTCCGTCAACATTCAATGAGAAGGAGGAGGAGAAGGAGAACACGGAAAATTTGTGAATTTTCAAACTAGTTTTTCTTGGCTCAAACACAACCGTTTTTTAATTTCCTTTTTTTATTTTGTTGAGAATGAGTGCCCATATCCAGTAGATGAATAATTATTTTAATAGCTTTTGTTTCTTCAGAGCTATAGACGAGTAAAAAAGAAAAGAAAAAAGCCGCTTTGTCACGTCACGTATATATACAGTTGTCGCAGCTAGTCTGGGCGCGCGGCCGCGCTAGTGTGCGGGGTGTAGAGGGGAGTGTTTATTGCTCATTTCCAAAAACATCTGGCCCACACGGCTGTCTGGGGTTGTTCAGGGGCCTCACTGCTGTCTTCATGGCTTTGGCGTGGGGGACGGTTAGTACACAAGGGTCCGCGCGCCCAGACTTTTATTTATTTATTTGTCATGAGAGCCGAAGCCCCCTGACTGCATACCCGGTACCTATCCTTTAGGACATACCCGGGCCCCATGATGTAGGCCGAAGCTTACGCATCAACCTATAGCACATCATGAGCGGATGACTTAAGGTCATCACTCCACCTGGGTTCCACTAGGTCAGGACCTAGAGGTCCATGGTAGAGCGCCCCGACGCATTTAGTGCAAGCAACACTCGGGACCTATCTAATCCCTGACAGGCAGAACCCGCCATCAATAGCCAGGAGGAAGGGGACCGTCAGCACGCTGACGGGGGGAACCCCAACCTCCCATTTACACTACTGCCCGATTGAGGCCTTACCCATTGCTGGGAAACCAGAGATAACCAGAGCGATAGATCCCCAGATACCCCTGGCGGGCTCGGACCCAGCACCCGATCTACTTCGTTTGCCCGTCAGACCCAACATCACTGCCAGGCCATCAGGGTTTCCCAAAAGGAGGCAGGTATAGAAGTGGGACCCACCCGGATGAACCTATCCACCAGAGGTGGCGACACCCTTGACTCAGTTGAGGTTCCGGGAAGAACCCCCCACACTCAAGATAACCATACCGTCCGTACTCAGAGACAGGGATTGGTTTGCATAAGTGCCTACAAACCGTTGCCCTCACACTGCGGAAAGTTACGTTGCCCTTGAGTGTCCCCGTGAGCTACGGGTACTTGCCCGTTTTCACCTCCAGGAAAGGTTACTTCCAAAGTCGAGGATTTGCCCACTTAATGCTGGTCGCACACAACAAGCAGGCCGAAGCCCAAAGAACCACAGACACAGGTAGGTTAGAGATTATGATGCACTTCCATCTCTCCTAGAGCTAAACACCCCTCCATCCTGGATAGAGGAATGTCACTGGGACCCAATGCCCAGTCGGCCATGTCTGTGGCCTACTTGAAAATGCCGATACCAACACGGAGCATTTACCTCCCCTCTGGGGGCTAGGTATTTCACCTCCCAGGACGAGGCTACTTCCAAAGTCGAGGATATGCCTCACAAAATGTCAGTCGTACACAACAGGTAGGACTCAGTCACAACCACAAGCTACAGGCAGGTGAAAGATCTATGAACTTAATCAACACTAGCAGAGCTGAACACCCCACCACCCTGAATGGAGGGAATGTCACTGGGTACTCTCACTTTGGGTAAAACCCAAAGAGGCTGGCTTGTCCAGTCGTCCATAGCTTGTGGTCTACCTGAAGTGCCGGTTCCAACACCGGGCAATTACCTCCCCTCTGCGCGCCCAGACTAGCTGCGACAACTGTACACTGCAGCAGGTGTGTATCGCTGGGGGACTTGGCGGGGCGGAAGCACGCTGTTTTGTGTCGTTTGGTTGAAGTAATGGTGTGCGACAAAGTAAAAAGTGTGTGGCAAAGTAAGTAAATGCAAAAAATCTGAGTGTTATAGTGAATATATTGGCATTATTAAATATCCATAGTGTATTCTACGTAGCACTTACCCTGAAAAAATGAGGAATTATTTTCTCAGCACCGATAGCTTTGTTTATTACCTCCACAACATGATCAGGAAAAAGGACACATGTTGTTCCTGAGTCAGCAATAGCGGGGTAAGGCTGAGAAAGTACTTCTTCTCCTTCAAATAGTATACTGAAAAGAAAACAACAAATTTACCATGTAAAACATTTTAAATCCAAACATTAACAAAAACGTAAACAAATGACAATAGCAATGTGTGTATTTTCAGTACATATATACATGTACCAGTAAAATATTTCGGATCATTCATAGTTAAAGTATACAGTATGAGGTACCTGTCGACGTTGAACGCCCACTTGTCTGGCTGAGTTAGTGGAGCGAACGTGAAGTCTCCAATGAAGTGGTCCGGGTCTACGCCTCCCAGGACCAATTCTGAACGTCCTTCCCAACCTTCAGTTTCCTTCCTTTAGTTTGATGTTGCAAAACACATGTAAGCAATTTAAATAACACAATAACACTAAACATTGTGCCATAAAACATGGAAACTTGCTATGTATTATGTATTATTAAATAAGAAATACAGGGTGCGGCAAAAAACCGATCTATATTCTACAAAGCACTGTTCAGCAACAGGTCTATTACTATCCTATTAATAGACTGTTTCAATTAACTCAATTTTTGAATAATGTTTTATAATTATTTGAGGTGATATTTAGTATGGTATTAGTGTTATTTAGTGCATGTGTAGTATGGTAATTTTTCATCTATTTCCTCTAATTGCTGGGATTACTTACTTATTTAAATAAAAGGAAAACACACTTTGGTTCACTGCTCCTTGCTTAACCATGTTGAGGAAAGGTGGGTCCCCTGGCACTTTAGAACCCTTCTGACTGCATCGGAGTCCGAATATACCGTCGCTTTTCGTATTGAACTTCAGCCCTTTAACTTCAGTAGCTTCTGCGAACAGCTGTCCAGTCACTGACTTTCCTTGCACCTGCAAGTAGTTTATTTTGGAAACCTTACATTGTATTTCATGAAAAATATCATACTTACTTGTATATGATTAGGATTACAAATAGGAAATACTGTAGTGTCATAATAGCATTTCCGGTATTTTTACTAAGTACGAGGATTAAAGACTAGTTGGCCTAACTACAGTGAATAGCACGAACTAGCTTGTTAGTCGACAAGAGTTTAAACCTTATTATGAGTTAAATTTAATTATTTAGGGGGTGTCATACGTATGTATGTATGTATTTGCAAATTATTAGCTTTTGATCAGCCATATTATAAAACTGGACGATGACCATATCACGAAAAGTATATAAAAAACTGAATACTATTTCTAATAGTTTATAATAGAAAAATAATGGTTATAATGTTTTTAGAAGATGATAAAAAATATTTCAAACAATTTTCACTAAATGAAAATTACTGTAACATTTAAAAAAAAATTTTGAAACCCATAGATAAGGCAACACAACGTAAGAGTCTATACCCTAAAATGTGAGCTTCTATTACGGCCAGCTATTACAAGTCAACACCAATTTTGTGTTAAGTCCACAATTAATTATATAATGGACAAACTATGTACTTTATATGTTCGTGATTAATAAACGATTAAATTTATTTTGTAAATAGTAATTGTGGAATGTGCTTTAATTTGGTCATAAATCACACATTTAACTAGTATTCTTTTAAGATAATTTAGTTTTTTTTTTTTTAAATAATTACCTCCATAACATCTTCTGATATAAAGCCCAATGTGTATGTGCCATCTAAATAACGTATTGACCAAGGTTGTCCATTTTCGCGGTACGTGAGGCTCATGCTACTGTCGTATTTATTATGGGTATCTGAAATAAGATACAAAAATGTCAGTAAATTTAAAATAATAATTGTTTACTCCTCTGCACGATCTCTGACCTTAATCTTGTGAAAGGAGCTGTTATATGTACTTTGTACGTTGTACCTAACGTTGTAATACGCTGTAGCATTATACTGTAGTTTATTTGACGATATGTGTAAAAGATGTTTAAAACTTAGATTATAATGGGTATATCTTACCACAAAATGATGCACTGCCTGTGCATTGCACCGACGGGACCCAAAGGTCACCAGATCCTGTGTCAAAGTCGACTAAGAAAGTCTGACCAGGAGTGCCAATCGAGATCGGTCCGTAGTAATAAATCTGCAACAGAGCTAGTATAAGAGGCTGTAAAACATAAGGCTACTTTAAATTACAAGTTAATTGTCAATTGAGTTTCAAAAGTGGCAATAATTATGATATATTAAATAACGAAGGCTGAAGAAACTACTTCGTGGAAGACAAGAAGTTTATAAACAAAATTTAGTAATTATTGAGGCATTAGGATGTTTACTTACAATAGGTGATTATAGAAAATAGTGGCAAATCACACAGTGGTGGCTGTATTTATGATATCTTCCACAATTTTAGCTTTATTTTAAAATAAAACCGGTTGTTCAATATTTTTAAATTTAAACTTATCCCGTGAAGATATTCCATTTTATGCCCTTGTGTTTGACCTTTTCCGCAACAAAAGTAATCCTTTTTTGTTAGAACACCGGAGCAATTAACAATTAATTATTAACAGCCAATACAAATAATATGACATTGAACAGATACTAATTACTAAAAGATTGTCCTCTAAAGTATTTTGCTGTTCAGAGTATAACAGTTAAATCCTTCCAGGTGGCCGTTGTACGTACATCCTTGTCATTTCCTAAGTAGACACCTAGGCTTCTGGAGAGGGCACTTCGATCGGCGATGCACGTCTTGACGTCCTTTAAACATTTAACGCGTTTTTGTAGTTGGACCTTGATGACCGTGGGTATAGATTTACTCCTAGAGGAAAGAGAAATGAATCAATTTCAAAACAACAGTTATTGTAAGATCAATATTTTTTAGCATACGCAAAAATATATTTTTCACATTTGTGTTAATCCTTTACGTACATTGAATAAAGCAATAAGGCTACGGACGAAAAACATGTAAATGTAGAAACAATAAACAAATAGTTAAAATATATTTTTTACAGTTATTATTGGTCATCATGAGTAAATGGTTAACATGTACAAACTTTGCAAGATGGACGTTGGTGGTTTCTTCTGCAATCACCACAACACAAGATAGTCCCAATACTAAGGCAAAGACGCCGGTGTAGGCCCAGCAGAGAAACATAGCTTTGCACCCAACCCGGTCCAAACTATAGGTATAAAAGAAACACTGTATAAGTATAACAGTATTGTTGACGTGCTTGATTGATACATACACAATAACGTTAAGATGAGACTAAATTTAAAATATAAATAAAACATTAAAAAAGGCTTTAATTGAGATAATTTGTGTAAAAACCATAGTTTCTTCCAAAAATTTACAATTTTGCATAGGAAATAATGTGAACATATACATGTCATAAGGCATTATAAGCTTCTTATTCCAATTAAAGTAAAAATCTTGAATATACATTTTAAAAGCTTCAAATTCTAATCAACTTAGTGGGATATATAATATAAGTTACCTGTACTAAAGCCCCTTCAGTATAAAATAAATCACTCCACCAACAAAACTAAATTTAACGTATCATGAAATTCATGTTATAATATGTAATGTAAAAACCAACACGAGCGTTTAGTTTTATATCTGTACCACAGTGATATGATGGAATGACAATGCTATTAAATTAGTTCATTATCATTGTAATTATAAGTTAATTAGAAGCGACCTTCACAAAGCTGTAAAATTATACTCTTCTGTGTTGCTTGACAGGATTACGATTAAAAACTTGTCACTTGTTTAGTAGCCTATAGAGATATTTTGAAATATGTACTTAGTATATCTGATACATTTTATTATTGACATTATAGCGAGTTCCCCCAAAGAGAGGGAGCCATTACCGTAGGTGACACAGAAAGATGTAGAAAGGGGACCAATTTGAATTATCTTTTGATGTCTCCTGAGACCAAACACACAATTCGTTAAAACTGTTACGTATGTTTTACATGTCCATGAACACGATAACTGAAGTAGTTTGCATCCGATTTTGATGCAATTTAGCATCAACGCGTAGGGCTGGATATACTTGTAAATGAGTTGACAAACCAGCAAGATCGGGTCGTAAGATATTTTTTGAAACTGCCCTAAATTAGATTTTCCCACATGTTTATCCATAAAACATAAATATGAATAATAGCCATCGTGTAGATCTTGAAAAACAATAATGCAGTGTATCAAAGCGTTGTTGTATGACTAAAGGTTACGGAGGAACTCCCCCCCCCCTCCCAAAAAAGTACATTTAAAATTTCTATGCTATTCATATAGTGAACAAGTTAGCTGTTATCTTAAACTATGGTGCAGTATGATAAACTTTTGTTGGCCTTGATGTAAAATAGGTACGTAACTAGTATGAAGGTTCGAACCTTTAAATAGTTTAATCATTTTAAAAGACTTGAAAGCACTAACGTTCAGTTGGTTCCCAGAAAGCTTTTAATTTTCAAACGACTACAAGTTGTTTATTACATCGTGAAAACTCCATCACTTAACTTGATAGGCTATAGGGTGGAAATCGCCATTCATTTAAAATTACCTTTGCTGTTTTAGACGACGATTCAGTTCATTGCCTTATTAAAATCTCCTCAAAAATTTAAAATGCTGTATTCAAAACCACTGAGTTTGTTTTAGCTAATCTTGTAACTCTAATATGGGATTCGAAATAAAATGATTCACACGTACCGCTTCTCCAAAAAGGGATATTTTAAAATCTAACTATGATCTCATATATTTTTTCCCTAGCTAAATCATTCGTTTAGTTAAAAGGGATAATACAATTAAGGGATAATGTATTGTTAAAAAGCTTCGCGATATAACGTTACAATACATCTCAATCAAGCACTAATTCGGAAAGGAGAAGTTACAAAACCAAAAGTGAAATGACCAAAGTTAATAGAAAAAACATGTTTATTATTCCGTTCAGAAAGTGCCTATTTTAGATTACGTAACAACTTAAATCAAATGAAGTAATTTTGTTAATTACCGATTAATTGTTAATATTGATTAATCTTTACTCAATAAAAAGATAAAAGTCAATTGATAGTTTATTTAAACCACTGAGCTAAAATTATAACTGGAGGTAGCACTGCCATGGCAGAAGTCTGTCAAAAGCGTGTCGCTGATTTTGTTAGGTTGGTATAGCAGCAGGTTTTTTCATCCAATAACATAACTTCTATAACTAGGTTTGCATAGCAGTGAGTTTTTTCATCCAATAACATGGCTTATTTATAACTCACACCTCACGCAATTATGGCGGCTGGCGACACGCATCGTTGACATTCAGTGCTACCTCCAGTTAGAATTATAGCTCAGTGATTTAAACGTGGTTTAGAATGAACTATTATGATGTAAACAAAGAAATATAACAGAATATAACAATCAATAAAACATATGATTTTATGTACAGATGACACATAGTAGTTTGTACACATAGTACTTATAACAAATTGTTTCCCAAGCTTAATTTAGACCTTGTCCTCCATCAGCTATCATTTGCCCCCCTCTACGCGTTAGTGTTTGTTTATAGTAATTACGCAACTATTGCGTAAAGATAGTGTTAATGACACGAGTAGAAAATTTAAGGTACGAACCTTGGCGAGTGCCTTTAAAACTTTTACGAGTGTCGTTAACTTTATTAACCTACAACAACCGTTTTTAAAGTATCTTAAAAAAATGGCCGTAGGTAATAAATTAATATATATTGTTGATTATTGAAATCAGTAAACCAGCTGTTTTTTCTGTTAGGAATACAAATGTGAACAGAAATATGCTAGTTTTGATGTGTTTTAGCTTGTAGTGCGCCAGTGCGCGTTTCCTGATCAATGAACATAACAACATTGATCTTGAAGTACTAATTATTACGTGTTAAGTAGATTTTTTATACACTTTCTGAGGGTATGTTCTTCAGTTTGCGAGTATTTTTGCGCTGAGATGAAAAGTATCGTTCATAACTTGTACCGAAAGCGATTTTCACGAACTTTCTCTAGTTATATCCGTCCTTTGCTTCGCCTCGTACATGGGATTTTAGTACGGTAAATGACTTTCGGTACTAGTAATAAAATAAACTATTTTTGGTCATCGTAGGTTCTGTAGGACATGTAGGATGGTTTTATTATCAAGAGTTTGTTATCCCATCACCTGATGAGTGTGTACCTATGAGTTGGTGGGATTCTCTCTAAATAGCTATTTAGCTTTACCTTCAAGACAAAATAAATAACACACAACGTCGTCAAACTATCTTTTGCTTACAATATACCAATATAGATATACTTGTGGTGAAGAGAACGCTAGGAATAATTTGTGACAATTATCTACTTTGTGTGCTATAGTCAATGTAAGGAAGCCTGTTTTGTCAGGTGACTGTAAGGAAACATATGTTTACGCTTATACTGTTTACTAGTAGGCGTACATATGATAAGTGTACAGAAGAACAGTAATACTGTAGTGCAAAGAAAGGGTGAAAAAATCCAAGGCCCCTCATCTAATATTTTCTAATAAATATTCAGTGATATCCTTTTGGTGGTCGTGCAAACTTAACAGGAAGTTTAATTTTATGATTTTGAAAATTTCATTAAATCATAAAATTGAATTCCTGCTAACATTGCACGACCACCATAAATATATCTCTGTATATTTACGAAAAATAGTAAATGAGAGGGTCTTGACGTTTTTTATGCACTTTCACTACATGTCTTTGCATGACTGCTTCCTTGTAACTGGAGCGTAGCTTAATTTTATAATAAGCTTCCAGGCAATAATCTCAGAAGAAAACATCACTATTGAACACGTAAATGTCAGAGGAGTTGTGCTGGCTTGGAAGCTTGTTATCTTTTGCAGGACCAATTTTTGGAAATATTCTTTTATGTCTGGTAAACATTTACAGAATCTCCTTTCTTCCAGCCTATCAAATCCTTTAAATAAATTTAGGGGTTAATTACGCTACTCCTTTTAGTTTAGTTTATTTTTTTTATATATAACCGCAGGTGGCAAGGTAAGACCTAGGCCCGGAACGGATTTACTTTTTCATTTTGATGTCCCCAGAAGCCAAAAACATCATTACTTCAAATTTGTATATATATATATATATATATATAGAGAGTTATATGTCCGTGAACGTGATAACTCGAGTAATCTTTGCCCGATTTTAATGCAATTTGGTTTAAAGGTGTAAGGCGGGATAAACTTGAATGAGTTCGCGAACCAGCATGATCGGACCATGTGAACGGGGGGGGGGGGGGGGTTTTATGGGATAAAAATTGGGTTTTCCCATTTTTGACCCTTAAAAATACAATTTTTTTTAATTTCTCTCTAGACCTTTTTTAAGAGCTTAAACAAATAATTTAGAACATCATAGTGCTTTTGTACGATTATTGGTAACGGAAAAGTGTAAATTGAAAATACCCATGTTATTCTTATGGGAAATATTGTAAAATGTTGTAGTTTGCTTGTTTACGGAAATATTTTGATGAAACTTGGCAAATTTATTTATATTATTATAAGCTATTAATATTCTACTAAAACCACACTAGCAGCAAACCTAGGTACTCATTGAACTTAATGTCATTTAAATATATTTAATTGAAAATCAATTGAGACAAATGGAACTTCGCTTACTCGGCACGTTTGCTGTGGAGGGGGTTTTTTATACTGTAGCGATGTGGTTTGTAATTTGGAATCAACAAGCCTTGATTTAGAATGATTGAATAATTTTATTAGACTTGAAGTAGTTTGACTTTTAAAACACCTACATGTGAATATATTTTTAAACATATATGCTTGTGAATATATTATTCATTGTCACCAAATCATGGTGGTTGAGAATGAAAACAATGTTGCTGTGAAAACGATCAACATGTTGTTGTATAACAGCTAAATTGACAACAATAGCAACCAATTAGTCAGTCAATATGGCCGACTTTGACATCCGATTCCGGTTTAGGGTCACTTCCTGTCAGAAGCACAATCCGTTCCAATAATTATACATATGGTTTATACTCCCGACTAACGGGTTTACCCCACTCAACCAATTAAAAAACAAAAATAGCATAACAGTGGTGAATATTGTAAAATATCAACATTTCTTCAATTAGAAAACCTCTCTTACCCTAGTTCACAATGTAGTTTTAACATAATGCAGAAGACAAACAATATTTTTCTGTCAAGTAAATGTATATTATAGTGTATATTACATAATAAAGTCTATAGAATCACTGCTACTAATGAATTAAATGGTTCCATACATTAAGTCGTGTACCGATATATTGAAGGTGCATTAGTATCACATATTATGAAGCCAGTTACTTAATTTAAAACAGTCAAAAATAATAAAAAAAAATTATTTTACCCTTTTATAAATAAAACAAGAATATTTGTTATAGAATAATGTTTAGACTAGCAGATGAAGAAGAGAACTGAATTTAATTAAATAAATCCGTATTTAGTAAATCTTTGCTAAACTATCATAAACCCTTTTGAATAATCGCAATTAATTATTCTCATCGCTGGAACATGTATAAATCATGTATTTCCCACCCCTCATAGCAGCTTTTCACTGCGAGTAACGTGGGCAGCTTGAATATTTAATCTTTTCGACTTCTTTAACCGAAGAC